GTCAAACACTAAGCCAACTTAGGTATTCATGTACCCCAGGCCTAGTATATTATTGTAAAGTTTGAAGATGATCAAACTGTGAGTAATCTAAATCTTTTAACTTATTATTTGTTGTGATCTTGAGCTTTTACTGGTATCTACCGTCAGTCTACCACCTACACTACTTCCAAACAAACAGTAGCGATTACATATGCCCTCCGTTCGGGAGGAGAACTAAAAGGATTAAAAGAAGAAAGACGAAACTCACCGAGAGAAATAGCAGAATGCATTTTATTACATCTAAACTTTTCTACATAAACAAGTAACATTCAATAAGTAAACAATTTCGTCCAATGCAGGTAATAAATATTTTTTTCCCCCCACTTGGTATATTTGTACAAACTGACACGGGTCTAACTGTACACCGTCTTCTCCTTTCCCTCCTTTCAGGTTTGTTTTCCAGATTGGAGCCACGAAACAGAACCTGTGAATGTTTTAAGGCAGTGAGTGCAGATGTCGTCTCAAGTCTGACTTTGATATCGTTTTCATAGCGTGGAACTCGTTATTGGCCACGGTCGTATTTTTTTTTATTTTCTTTTCCCTGGTTTTTTTGGTTAGTTTTTGTTTTTTAAATAATAGTACAGCTTCCATTTTCTAAAAAATATATAAATTATTTTATTCTCTCGCTCTGAATCGACGCACAAAAGCATACAAACGGACATCAAACACCCATGTCTGGATCTGAATCTTTCAGTTTTCAGTGTTCCACACGAACATAATATACACGTCGCTGATTTTTCCCTTTTGTTTAAGGTCATGACAACCAAAGAGTTGAGTTGCTTGTCGAGGCTGACTGTGGAGTACTTTTGAAAACACACTTAGGAGTAACTACTGTTTTAAAAAAAACAAAAGTGGCCTTATTCCATATGTTCTGTGTGTGTGTGTGTTGCTGAGGAGGGACTGAGAAAGCCGCGACCTTGTGCTTATCCATCCTGTTTGTTAGAGTGAAATAAACCCAGCTCAATAAAGACTGCTTCGCCCTAAACACTTGCCGCGAATGAAACCACAGGAGGAGGGAGCAGCGGACACCTAAACGAGGTGGAGTTGGATCGGACCTTTCCCCGCCTTCACCACAAACACATTCAACACGGTCTCTTCTCCCACTTCATGTTGCCATCGTGACCTGCTGCCCAACAAGCGCCACGACAGACGTTTCAATAAATTAAGACGGTGATGGGATTCATTCAGTTACTGTGACCACCTCATCAAGTATCCAAACACTGCTGCTTAGTTATAAAACTGACGTGAGAGAACGTGAAGGACCGAAGGTTTCACCAGCAAAGCAAGCCAGAGGAGCTGAGATAAAGGCACAAACGCACAGGCTCACGTAGTTCCTGCTGCCCAGAAACGATCAACTCACCGAGCCTGAGCCGCAAGCGAACAGCAACAGTTCACTTTGGGAGTGAAATCCACACGA